AAATGGACTGATCAGCCAGCAGCAAAATTGTTTAAGTGAATTATGTGATATTATAATTATGATAGCTTAAATGAAAGATAAGACATTGTAGGTTGCTGTCAATTTTTTGTTAGCCCCAATCTGTGAAGGTATTGGTTCCATCTTCCCATGATTTGACCCCAAGTTGAAGGTCGCTGTGTGTGTTTCTGCTCGAAACTTCCGGTGAGCATTGTTGACAGTGTTTACTGCGAAAGCAAGGTGGTGAATGCTGGCCGAAACTTTGCGTTTTAAGTGACAAGTGGCAGGTTGGTCAGCATGCAACAGGAGAACAGCCTCCGACTGATAATAATTATGGTTGGCTGCCATGTCACTGTAGATGGCAAAGAAGGAAAATAATTGTGGTCTGAGGCCTGATATGGTGAGGCTATTGCACATGTTTGATTCATTATAGCTCTATACTATACTATGTAATAAATTGACTTGAAACTTGGCATATATATTCACCGTAAGTGTTGAAATATGTGTACATGTGTTTTCATGTTGAAATATGTTTTATATATTTTTTAATGATTTGGTTTACTTTTTCGAACGTGCAGTTTTATGCATGTTGTTGAAATAAATGAATGCAAGCATCATAATAAGTCATATGAGTTCCAATATGGTAGAATCATGTATCCCTACACCTGCTGTGCCTCGTATGAGCTGGGACAATATCTATATGGCCAACATTGAAGCCTTTTTCAAGAAATACAGAGATGTATTTGCTTGGCATTCAGCCAAAAGTGACCAACATGGCACGTGTCAAAACCGCACATGTCAAATCTGGTCTAGGGCATGTTTCAGGTCTTGCTTGCTGGCCGCAGTAGGCCGCAACAGCCTCACAGAGACTTGGTAACCAGTGAGAAGTCTTCAGCACTCATCCTACTGACAGTCCTGGGTATCTGGGATGGAGAGGCACTTTCTGTCTCTTCAGATTCAAGGGTGAGACCTTTGTTCCAAGGAGTGTGGCCCTTGCTGAACTGTGACTTGATTCTCTTGCGATCGCCTTTCATCATGATTGTCTCGGACAGAACTAATGAGCTCTGAGCACAATATGTACTTATATACCCCATCACTGTGTAATGTCACTGGCAATGACAAGCATGTAAATGTATAAGAAACTCTCAAGACATACATACATATGTCTTGTGTCAGCAGTCCAAATTGTAATACCAATCCACAGACACGTAATCGGTACTCACTTTAATAACTGGCGATAACATTTGTTGAAATATGTTCCAGCATAACATTTCTGCAATGTGTTGAAAACATTGCAATAATATGTAATGAAACAGTATTCTCTATGTTACAGCATGATGTTCTTGAATAACATTTTAAAAACATTTCAATAACATTTCCTGAAATAGTTTCTGGCTTAACATTTCTGCAACGTGTTAAAACATTGTAATACCAGTGAAATAGTTACGCCTATGGATGATGTTCTTGACAAACATTTTAAAAACATTTCAATAATATTTTGAATAATAATAAAACATGTACACATCATGCGGATGTTTTTACATATGTGCACACAATGTATACACCTGGAACTTAATTAAGCGCCACCGAACTAAATATGACACAGAATTATGAATACGGAAAATAAGGAAACAACGATTATTTATTAGACAATATGGCCCTTTCCCCACACCATCACACTGACAATGCCAAGATTAACGCGATTGGGTGTTCAAGAAGTTGGTGTTTGTATCAATTCTTATATTTCTTCAATTTCATGCATTATTTGTATTTATCAATTTTAAGTTTCCTTTTAACTTATTTTAAACAGTTCACACATTATGACTTTTGTCGTGCAAGGTGCAATCTCAATCGGCAATAATCAGTTAAGTAAGTGATGTTTGAGAACAAGTAAAGTATCATCTGTCATTGTACACACTGAATAGAGTTATCACCCCTTCTGAATATTTATTTTGACACACAAGTTATTTTGTGAACTAATTTCATTTATATCGTCATATGTTTCGATGAAAATCATAGCAAAAAAAGTGTCTTTTGTCAACTGGACTCATGGCAAAACGATAGTGCGTTGTGCAGAAAACACCACTATGAAACGTGAAATAAACATGATCGAGGGTCTCGAGTTCGCCAAGCCACGCATTGACTGAGCAAATTTGCAAAAGTACACTGACGTGTTTCCTGTCATGCAGTTCTTTTACGATACAAAACTTCTGTCATTGAATCTACTGTCACATTGTACCTATATGCCAACGAGGTTATGATAAAACAATCAATTTCTGAAATACATATCTCGACATGCACCTTTCGATTCATTTCCGGGATCCTGACAGCAAAATCCTAAATCCAGTGTATTACAGGCATATTTTAGTTGGACCTCAGGATTAAATGTGAAATATCTTCTGTATTAGATACAGAGGATACCATTTTTGTTTGTTTGAAATGTCCTTCAGTGAAATGCACAACATGCTGTCTGTTCCCTAACAACTGATGCGACGTACACTGCATGGAGCTATGCTCTCCAAGCCTCGTTTTCGATCCAAGATGGCGAAAGTGTGAAAAAGGTCAATATTTCTTGGTTGTCCAAATCATCGTTTACTTCTACTACATTCATGGTTGGAGGCAAGATCAAAGTCTCCGCCCAGCTTAACTAAGACAACAGACAGTGTCGTTCGTTTCGCTTTGAACCACCACCCCACCCTGTCGGTAGGAGTTATATAATCGGTGCCCAAATAACTGTGTCCAGTCTACAAACGGGTTTGAAGCGGTGTCTGTGTCGAATGATTTTGTGATAGTAGTGAAAAAATTCGTTGTATACCGTATATTGTTTGTTACTAACTATCCTCTTATTTGCCAAATGAACAGAACAAAACCCCATGACCGATGCATTGGTGCCGTGATATGCAACAAGAAAGAAAACGGATATTACCAACAGTAAGTCAGCTAACTGGAAGATCCACTGACTACTGCATTGCTTATAGAGGCTAAACGGACCTCTGTGTGTGTACTAGACGTAACATTCGAAGATAAATAAAGTCAATTTTAAGGCTGTACGGGCTATGGAACCGAGAGATAATATGGCCAAAATGCATATGTTGTAAATAAGAGGATCTCTATGCTAGAACGTTTGATCACGAGGGCGAAACATTGAAGTAGATACAGGAGAGTTGGGACACTGCCTGTGTAACACCAACCATGCGGTTTGAAATCAGTCACTGACATGATAGATGAGGTTGATAATAACACCAATTTTTGCTTTCATATAAAGCATTATGAGAACTGGGGAGCCAATATGCACGTATTACAGCATTCGCACACGGAAGCAATCTGTAGTTGATATGGTGTAGTTTTAATTACTCTGAAGTCCATGGAAAATGCTTTGTTGCACGTTAATGTCTGTTGTTTTCACTTTGTCATAATACATCATAAAAGCGTAAGAGAAGGTTTAGGATTCCTGTTGAAAGTACTAAAATAACAACTGTTGGTTACCGAACTGAGAGTTTTTTTATGATAAAACACATTGACTATTAATTTCTTCTCTTATTTTCCAATGTAGTTCACTTCAAATTTCTTCTCTTTAAACTGTTATGGTAATGAACCTGTTGAATGTCACCCTGTGAGATCTGTCAAATCTATCACGGATTTGATGCTATCCTCAGGTTTAGCAAGGTCCAATTTCATCCACTAGTTACTGGAAATGTTTAGGAAAATATTTCCTTTCTCCCTCAACCCTATCTTTCATGCACGCAAATGTAAAACATATACATAGTGAGGTCTTATATAATCCATACAATAATCTGTTCATTCATTAAGATATTGATGGGTGTAGGGAACAGTCCCTTTGAATATTTATGATTTAACACACAAAGTTTTGCACAATTTAACAGATTATAATAAAATGAATATCAAAATTCATTACCACTTGCCAAGATTATTATATTATATTATATTATATTATATTATATTATATTATATTATATTATATTATATTATATTATATTATATTATATTATATTATATTATATCATATTATAAATTATGACTATAAATTATGTATGATTTATGTATATATGTAAATAGGGCTAGATTAAGTATAATACTGGAACCTATGGCTTGTGTAAAAGAGGGAAAAAGTTTCAAATGAAGGTAAGGTTAAGGCCTAATATAATAGTAATGTATAGCTTTGTTAGATGTAAAGCATAGCAGGATATAGTAATATAAACAGTTCGACTGTTTGTGAGAATGAGGGGCCTGCTAAATAAACGAAAAGTAAAGCCTTAACATAGCGCTTGTGCAAGACACATATTCTCCAGGAAAAGTACTTAGAAACCTGACAGACACTTTTGATGTTCAATTCGTAATCTGTTCACAGTGTCAGTTTCAGTTTATTTCTCTGAAAAAAACAAACACCAACGGTGGTACACAGGAACAGGAAGTCGATCATTCTTAAGCGTTGTTTTCACACAAAAGCCGATAATCCCCCTGCTGACTCTGCTATGCTCGCCTTATTCTGCGAGAAAAAGTTCTGCTCTAGTGACCTACTGCGAGAGTAGGCTTCCTTCCCGGGAATACCCCTGCCTTCTGGCTTCAAACGACCGAGGCATTTTTTTTGTAATCTAGGCTTGCATACATTTACATACATTTATACACGCACGCATACATACATACACACCCATAATTTACATACATACATCAACGTAATGGTACATACATCCATACATACCATGCACACATACAGCCATGTTATCACACGTACATACTGAACAGGCAGGAAGCGGGTGCCTTGATTTGTTGTCTTAATCACCGACCCATCAAGAGTGTCAGTCAGTATGTATTCAAAACGGTGTACTCCCGGTTTCCAAACATTGGAAAACTTAGAACAACACAGGGATTAATGGACTAACACCTGTGGGTATGTCCCACTGTCTTTTTAGGGGGGACCGACGCTCTATGGACACACTACGATTTCAATGAATAGGAGTATGAACAAACATGCAGTAATAGATTTTTTTTATTTATAAAGTATTTGATTTCACATGATTTCCTTATCACAGCACATGAACATGATTGAATTTTACAATTAATATTCTAATATCACAACGGTTTATAATGTCTCAACATCAAATTTAAAATACAAATCGACAATTTATAATAAACCAACACTACATTTCCTGATCATCACAATCGTACAAAATGGGCCACAGCATCTGCAAATTCAATTGTTGACTTTCTTCCCTCACGTAAGTGTCTCTTTTCTGCACCAAGTCTGGTCTCAAGATGTCGATTCTTACTTGATATCAATAATTCATTTATGGATACCAAAGAAAGAATTTATATTAAAAATTGATTTTATTATATCCTGAAATGTTTACTGATATCGCAAATCAAATTGTAGATATAATAACTGAATCTATTATACCAGATAATGTACTTTATCATCTAAAAAATCAAATAAGGTATAGTATCTATAGCCTTCGTGTCCGTGACCTTATGCCCATTTTGCAAAAGTTTGCGCAGATAGCTACAGTACCGTAACATTTACATATATAGATATTCAGAGGATGTCTCTGCATATATTTAGGGGCAAAGGCCATCTTATACACGTCTACAGGTCTCTTCCTGTGTTACGGTAATTAGTAGAACCATCTACCTCAAGTGTATCCTCCATGATAAAACCTACTCTCATTAATCAAATGCTGCCCTTTCCCAGCGTCATGGCTTTGGAGCTGAGACAAAGAGAGACCCAACCATCATAAAGTAATTAGGGTCCAATAAAACCAATGCTCCGCCAAACCTCATTAACATGATCACTGAAAGTCGTACTGCAGACGTTTAATGTCAAATTACAAAAAAAGCATTTGAAAAGCAATAACATTTAACAGGATCATGTATTCTCTTAACACCATTTCAAAACATCATGTATAAGCCGAAACAGTACTCATACTATCCAACAATATCACATCTAAAAATGTGACATCAGCAAGTTCATATAACAGTGTGTTTTGACACTTTTCGCCAGGATATCAAACATTTCTCTCCTTCAGGTCTTTGAAAGGCATATTTAAGTGATACACATAAGAAAGAGAATATATGGATGTCAACCTCTTTATGATGAGGAACACAGCTTTTCGGAGTAAATGCTTACTCCTTCATCAGGTGAATGAATGCCATGAATCAGGAAAGCATATATATGTGCATGTAAGGACATCAAAATTAATAAGATAACAAAAGGTGGAAATTAACAAAGGATAGAAACTAACAAGGGAAGCCAACAGAAGGTAGAAGCTTACAAAGGAAGCCAACAGATGATTGGCGCTGATAGGTGATAAGCAATAGACAATGGAAGCCAACACTTGTGTCCCGAGTTGCAGGAAAATATTCTTCTGTCATGATCTTCATTTTGTTGCCTCGCAGGTCATATTGGTATGATCGGTGGTGGAGGAGGGTGTAGAACAGAACGGTAGCAAATTGCTGAAATACAATAAAGGTTATGTAACATATAGCATCTCTGTCTGACATTACTGAGTATTATCAGAGTGCTTGAAGTAAGTTTCGTAACTAAATACATGTGCTTCATGTACATTACGATTGTAGCGAATGTTGTATATTGGCAAAAATCAGAACAAGACCTTTCGTCGCAGTTTCTTTTAACGCCTCAGAAATCGTTACAGTTCACCTTGCATTTGCAATCAAATGACATCCCGTTCCGTTGAGATAAACACATACCTACTACAATACAACCTCATACCAAGTGATGTATAGTAAGATGGCTCGAGGTAGCTCATAAGATCTTCTGACTTGATGTCCTGGTGATATCAAAGACATCCTGGATCGACAACCACATCTACTCCATCACCCCCCATGAGCGCCAACTACATCCACTCCCTCAAAACGTTGAGCAGAAACTAAATCTGCTCCAACAGTGCCTGGACAACAACTACATTCACTGCACAGACATCGTAGTAATTCTCTCCAGTAAATGCACCATTGATGGTCTTAAGTCACCTTATGCTTAAACACAACTACATGGTCGTCAGATGTAAACCATAACTGGTCCAGAGAACTGACGTGACTTGTCCCTTCCAGTTTGTGAAAACAAAATAAATGTCCAGTGCAGGACAAATTAGTCTCGTGCGTCATGTCTTTATAATATAAGTCTTTAGACCTTGATCATCATATTTGGACAATCACAAGAAACGACATGTTTAATGTGCCATTTACATACAGATAATTCGTCAGGAGATTTTCAGGCTTTGGAGATGGCCTGGAGACCTGATACTATATAAATACCGATGTCTCAGAATAATTCCAATACACTGGTCTTGATATACAGCTTGAAAATAATAAGGGAATGAATATAGAGAAGCTCACCCGAGTGTCTTTTGATATCAAATATATCAACTCGATTTGTAAAAATGGTAAAACTTGGAGGAGGCTTGCCGAGGACTTTTTTCACTTTTATCAATGAGTGTTGATATGCTTGATATGAAAAAAACCCACGAAAGTGGAATTTTATTTGTCATCTAACATAATTCTTCCAACTTTTTCAGTTTGTAGACAGTAATAAGCACTGTAAAAAGTACTGCTTACGGCGGGGGACATCAGAAAGGGCTTCACACATTGTACCCATTTTGGGAATCGAAGCCGAGTCTTCGACGTGACGTACGAACCCTTTAACCACTAGGCTACCCAACCGCCCCTACTGCTAACAGCTTCAGTAGCAGCGCTATTAGTGATCTCATTTGATGTCGCTTGTTCTCACCCAAGCGATATCTCCTGTTGGAGCCAGCTTAGGGTGGTAAATAATGTTATGTTCAGACAAGTCCTTGGTCTTATTATGTTTGGTGCCCTTGTGAATTACCAAAAGGCAAAGGTATATATAAAACTAATTTTAGAACCAAATCAACCAATTACAAACGTTATATAGATGTCATTTAGCTAACAATGTTAGACTGCCCTTACAAATGACATAAAGACTGTTTTGTCCATTCAGGATAATTGAAAACACCATCATACCTTCATTCATTGACAGGTGGGCTGATGTCATTTCCTCCCCCACTCTGTAAGCATATTCCCCTGTATCAGGAGGATGGACATCTATGACAGTCAGCTGACGGCATCTTCCATTGATAGAGGTCTGTGTTTTGTTGGAATGAGTCAGTGTGACGTCGTCTCTGGTCCACTCACCGGCCTCCTCAGTGTCATCATGTAGCCTCAGTCTGAAGGTGGCCGAGTCTCCCAACATTACTATGCTGTTCCTCAGACCAAGCTCTATACCTGGTGGCGTATTATGGAAACAATAAAAGTGTTTGGTAATCGTTATTTTCTAAGAATGTGATAAAATGGAAAAGAGTTGGTGTTCTAAAGATTGAGTGATTTTTGTTTAACACCGCTTTAAATAGCATTTAAGCTACAGTGTTTGTGTCAGCTTCGTATGGTTTTTAAAAAAGTTGATGACGTCATATATTTAACCAAATTCCGAACATGATTTATCTATTCCCCAAAGACAACTTTAATTCCTCTCTTTTTAAAGATAGTTATCACAGAAAGTCAACCTACCCTGATCAAGATGGTGATAACGGAAACTAAACCCCTTCTATACATCATCATTATTGCGGAAAATAAAACTCATTTATATCCAACCCTAGCTAATAATAGGCAACATTATATCCCATATGGTTGGCCTGGTTTTTTTTTGGATAAATAAAAGATTTATACCAGAAAAAAGCTTGAAAGAAATAATAATGTTTCAGATTGCTGAAAAAACCCATTGTTGCAAGATGTTCTGTATAAAAGAAATATTTAGGCTCATCAGTCTTAATCCAAAAACGATATCTCGTTCTGTAGCTGAAAAGTACAAAATCCCAGACCGTCCATGTTATCAAAGGTAGGTCCGTAAGTGTCGCCATGCTTACCATCTGTTTTTACATGGATAAACCCAAGAAAGTCATCGCTTATCGCGCGATGGAAGGCTGCGCCTGCAACAACAATATTGATACACGCGCTGATGATACAGGTTCGAAACAGAAGACAACGTTTAACACAGGCTTTAGTCATTAATCCATAACCAGTACTGAGACTAAATGAGAACACATGGTCCAATGTTGCCACTGGAACTTCTTCCGCCGTCCAGTATCTCCTGTGTACTTATTGTGTCACACAGGGTCGTTCTTTGTCATCCGAGTAAATATTTACAGCTAAAATGTGTGTGTGTGTGTGTGTGTGTGTGTGTGTGTGTGTGTGTGTGTGTGTGTCTGTCTGTGTGTGTGTGTATGTGTGTGTGTGTGTGTGTGTGTGTGTGTGTGTGTGTGTGTGTGTGTGTGTGTGTGTGTGTGTGTGTGTGTGTGTGTGTGTTTGGTTCTTGTCATTACCTACCAGTGTATCTCCGGCACAGCACCAAGATACCTGTGTGACCTCATTCAAGTGCACCAGCCTACAGGATCACTGCGATCACAATCCCAGCTTTTGTGTAGTGTTCCAAGATTAGGAACGAGTTCATAGTATGGCAGGAACACGAAAATAATGTTCTATATATTACCGGGTGGTGGAGAAGGGTGTTGAACAGAACCGAAGCCATATGCTGAAATACAAAAAAAGGTTATGTAACAGATAGCATCTCTGTCTGACATTACTGAGTATTATCAGAGTGCTTGAAGTAAGTTTCGAACTAAATGCATGTGCTTCATGTACATTACGATTGTAGCGAATGTCGTATATTGGCAAAAATCAGAACAAGACCTTTCATCGCAGTTTCTTTTAAAGCCTCAGAAATCGTTACAGTTCACCTTGGATTTGCTATTAAATGACATCCCGTTCGGTTGAGATAAACACATACCTACTATAATACAACCTCATACCAAGTGATGTATAGTAAGATGGCTCGAGGTAGCTCATAAGATCTTCCGACTTGATGTCCTGGTGATATCAAACACATCCTGGATCGACAACCACATCTACTTCATCGGCCCCATGAGCGCCAACTACATCCACTCCCTCAAAACGTTGAGCAGAAACTAAATCTGCTCCAACAGTGCCTGGACAACAACTACATTCACTGCACAGACATCGTAGTAATTCTCTCCAGTAAATGCACCATTGATGGTCTTAAGTCACCTTATGCTTAAACACAACTACATGGTCGTCAGATTAAACCATGACTGGTCCAGAGAACTGACGTGACTGGTCAAGTTATATGAATAGTTCTTATGAACAAACTTTGGTGATTGACGATGCCTCGAGGTAACGCATTAGATCTTCCGACTTGATGTATTGGTCATATCAAGGTCATCAACTTCAATTCCCTTCCAGTTTGTGAAAACAAAATAAATGTCCAGTGCAGTACAAATTAGTCTCGTGGATCATGTCTTAATAAAAGAAGTCTTTAGACCTTGATCATCATATTTGGTCAATCACAAGAAACGACAGTCAACACATTTCTAGTTTGCGGCCAGACTTGAAGATGATATGTTTAATGTGCCATTGACATACAGATAATTCTTCAGGAGATTTTCAGGCTTTGAAGATGGCCTGGAACCATGATACTATATAAATACCGATGTCTCAGAATAACTCCAATACTCTGGTCTTGATAAACAGTTGGAAACAATAAGGGAATGAATATAGAGAATCTCACCCGAGTGTCTTTTGATATCAAATATATCAACACGAGTTGATAACAATGGAAAAACTCCGAGGCTTGCCGAGGTTTTTTACACTTTCATCAAAGAGTGTTGATATATTTGATATGAAAAACACGCGTACGAGGGTGGGATTTTATTTATCATCAAACATCATTCTTCCAACTTTTTCAGTTTGTAGACAGGAATTAATAAGCTGTGTAAAACGTATTGCTAACAGTTTTAGTAGCAGAGCCATTAGTATTTTCATTTGATGTCGCTTGATCTCATCCAAGCGATATCTCCTGTTGGAGCCAGTTTAGGATGATAGATAATGTTATGTTCAGACAAGTCCTTGGTCTTATTATGTTTGGTGCCCTTGTGAATTACCAAAAGGCAAAGGTAGATATAAAACTTATTTTAGAAACAAATCAACCAATAACAAACGTTATATAGATGTCATTTAGCTAACAATATTAGAGTGCCCTTACAAATGACACAGAGACTGTTTTGTCCATTCAGTATAATTGAAAACAACTGAATAACTGTCCATTTACCTTCATTTATTGACAGGTGGGCTGATGTCATGTCCTCCCCCACTCTGTAGGCATATTCCCCTGTGTCAGGAAGATGGACATCTGTGACAGTAAGCTGACGGTCCCTTCCATTGATAGAGATATGTGTTTTCTCGGACTGAGTAAGTGTGACGTCATCCCTGGTCCACTCGCCGGCTTCATCAGTGTCATCATGTAGCCTCAATCTGAAGGTGGCCGAGTCTCCAAACATCACTTCCTGGTTCTGCAGAACAAGCTCGATACCTGGTGCCGTATTATTGAAACAATAAAGGTGTTTGTTTATCCTTGTTTTCTTAAATTTTGGATACAATGTTGTTGTTTGTTGTTGGTTTGTCGTTTTACGCCGCACTCACTATTCAACCTATATGACGACGGTCTGTAAAAAATCGAGTCTGTACCAGCCAATACAGTGATATACATCATGAGCATCGATCCACGCAATTGGGATCGATGACATGCATCAACCAAGTCAGAGAGCCGGATCACCCGATCCCGTTTGTCGCCTCTTACGACAAGCATGGTCGCCTTTTACGGCAAGCATGGGTTGCTGAAGATCTATTCTACCCCGGATCTTCATGGGTCTGTGGATACATTGAAAATAGCTGGTGTTCTAAAGAGTGAATGATTTTGGTTTTACACTGCTTTGAACAGCATTTCAGCTACATTGTGTGTGTCAGCTTGACATGCTTTAGAAATATATAGGCTCATCAGTTTTAATCCAAAAAGGATATCTGGTTCTGTAGCTGTAGCTGAAAAAATATCTAGTCCCCATACAAAATCCCAGATTATCAAAGATCGGTCCGTAAGTGTCGCCATGGTTGTCATCATATGGTCGTCATTCTTACCATCTGTTTTTGAAGAGGTAAACACACCAAGATCAGTGCACACAAGTTATCAGAGTATCGCTCCTACAATATTGATACACGCACCGGTGATACAACGTTTAACACAGGCTTCAGTCATTGAACCATAACCGGTACTGACACTAAATGGGAACACATGATCCTATGTTGCTGCTGGAACTTCTTCCACCGTCCAGTATCTCCTGTGCACTAATTATGTCACACAGTGTCCTTCTTTGTCGTTCGAGTAAATATTTACAGCTAAAATCGTTTCTTGGCATCCATTACGAGATGAAGTTGATCATGTTTGTTTGTTGGTTTTTTGTTTAACATTGATGAGAAATATGAAATGACAAATGTAATGTATGTATGTATGTATGTATGTATGTATGTATGTATGTATGTATGTATGTATGTATGTATGTATGTATGTATGTATGTATGTATGTATGTATGTATGTATGTATGTATGTATGTATGTATGTATGTATGTATGTATGTATGTATGTATGCATGCATGCATGTATAGTGTATCTCCGGCACAGCACCAAGATACCTATGTAACCTCATTCAAGTGTACCAGCCTACCAGATCACTGCGATCACAATCCCAGCTTTTGTGTAGTGTTCCAAGATGGAGATTAAAGGGACATGGCTTCAGATCATTCTCCAGTCAAGCACCTATGCTGTGGAATACACTCCGAGAAACCCTAAAAACTGCAGAGACCCTATCTGTATTTAAGACTAGACAAAAACATTTCTCTTTGACAAGTATTACCCTTGTACTATGTAAGCGCCATGAGCACACGAGCTGGTATGGAGTTTGGCGCCATACAAATGGACTCGTTATAATTATTATTATGACCTAGAATTGACCTTCTACCAACTGTTAACTGACCTGGAGAAGAGATTGAACAAGTGTATTGAACTACAAGAGGACAATGTTGAAACAATTACAGCTCATGATCAAATGACAGTTCTATGTAATAGACTCTAACTCTGTTTGATACCCCCTCGAATGTGTTTAATGACAAATATGAAAATCTGATGAAAAAATATCTGCAGTGTATTTAAAGTATTTACAGAGTCTAGCGGTGACTGGCGAACAATTGGAATTCAAATCTCGCGGCCCTGACATTCGAAGTACAAAACATCTGTAGTGTAATCAAAGTATTTACAGGATCTAGCGGTTACTGGCTAACAATTGGAATTCAAATCTCGCGGCCCTGACATTCGAAGTACAAAACATCTGTAGTGTAATCAAAGTATTTACAGGATCTAGCGGTTACTGGCGAACAATTGGAATTCAAATCTCGCGGCCCTGACATTCGAAGTACAAAACATCTGTAATGTAATCAAAGTACTTACAGGGTGTTACGGCTACTGGCGAACAATTGGAATTCACATCTCACAGCTCTGACATTCGAAGTACAAAACATCTGTAGTGTAATCAAAGTATTTACAGGATCTAGCGGTTACTGGCTAACAATTGAAATTCAAATCTCGCGGCCCTGACATTCGAAGTACAAAACATCTGTAGTGTAATCAAAGTATTTACAGGATCTAGCGGTTACTGGCGAACAATTGGAATTCAAATCTCGCGGCCCTGACATTGAAGTACAAAACATCTGTAGTGTAGTCAAAGTATTAACAGGATCTAGCGGTTACTGGCTAACAATTGGAATTCAAATCTCGCGGCCCTGACATTCGAAGTACAAAACATCTGTAATGTAATCAAAGTATTTACAGGGTGTTACGGTTACTGGCGAACAATTAGAATTCACATCTCATGGCTCTGACATTGAAGTACAAAACATCTGCAGTGTAATCAAAGTATTTACAGGGTCTAGCGGTGACTGGCGAACAATTGGAATTCAAATCTCACAGCTCTGACATTCGAAGTACAAAACATCTGCAGTGTAATCAAAGTATTTACAGGATCTAGCGGTTACTGGCTAACAATTGGAATTCAAATCTCGCGGCCCTGACATTCGAAGTACAAAACATCTGTAGTGTAATCAAAGTATTTACAGGATGTAGCGGTTACTGGCTAACAATTGGAATTCAAATCTCGCGGCCCTGACATTCGAAGTACAAAACATCTGTAATGTAATCAAAGTACTTACAGGGTGTTACGGCTACTGGCGAACAATTGGAATTCACATCTCACAGCTCTGACATTCGAAGTACAAAACATCTGTAGTGTAATCAAAGTATTTACAGGATCTAGCGGTTACTGGCTAACAATTGGAATTCAAATCTCGCGGCCCTGACATTCGAAGTACAAAACATCTGTAATGTAAACAGAGTATTTACAGGGTGTTACGGTTACTGGCGAACAATTGGAATTCACATCTCATGGCTCTGACATTGAAGTACAAAACATCTGCAGTGTAATCAAAGTATTTACAGGGTCTAGCGGTTACTGGCGAACAATTCTTATTCATGTTGCCCACCTATTTTCTATTACTGGATCCTTTTTCACGTCACAATACAGTTTAGTATTGTATAATGAACTGAAGATGAAACATGTTCGTGTTATCGTGGTGTATAAGTCGCCCTGTCACTCATGGTCAAAAGGGAAACATTTAACATATTGCCAAAAATCGAACAAAATATAATTTACATGTGGTGCTGACACTCTCTGTCCCTGGTGTTGCTGACAACATCCCACAATGTGTTTTGCTACTGCCGTGGTGTCTATGATTGGAACAAACATCGCTATTATCCCTTCGGATTAGTTTTAGGAAAACCTTACGGTTACTTAGCAAACGGCCTGTTCTGTCCGCCATCTTTATATCTTAGCATGTTGCAATAAAACACTGTTTTGGTTATTGCCTAATTGGCGCAGATAACAGTAGGATCGCAATGAAAATAACCAAATGTTATGCACAAATCCCCAAGTTTAGAGGGCAGTATTATATTGCTCATATTGTGTTTCCTATTAATGTGAGGCTTTACAAAACTCAAAGGTCATTAAAATTTATCCACAATGCTCTGTGGCTCACCTGTATTATGGAGAAATAATCATTGCAGAACTGGGCTAGGATTTCTGGACTCGATCGCAGCGCCACCAGTGGCTATTACAAGTTATGTCCCTTCTATGACCCTCCTATTGACCAAATCTGATTCCACCTCTCATATAACTTGCATTTGCTTTAAACAAAATGGCGGCACCCAGCCGAAACGATTATTGTAATAAAACGGGTCCTGCCTCGCGAAGTGCATCAAATCACGTGAACACCTTGATTAAAAACTTCAAAAGATTTGGAAATTGTTGACGGTACACATCCTTTGCAAATCCTGCAGTCGTCCAAAATGTGCACGTTGAAATCCATGTTGTTTACTAACTGCCAATTAGTTAATGTCAATTTCGTTATGCGATTTTAATTGGACTGTGCCAGTCCAGCCAAAATATAACTCCATAAGTCCAGTCTAGTTCAGCAAGGGCGGAAACTGGACTTCTAGAGTCAGTTAGGTCCCTTGCCTCGTGAAGATGATATGAGCATAAATCTTAAGCCTGACTTGCACTACTTTCTTTTATTTTGCATTGGCTCGTTTTTTGTTAATTGTGTTAGCTCTTTCTGAAATATTACAAGCCAATTGACCGAGAAAAAACTCACCATGTGAGTGAGCCATTACTTCGATTCTAGCCTTACTTCCTGAAGCATACATACCTTTACCTAAAACTTGGCATGGCGTTTGATGAACAGTCAATGGCAAACTCACTTCTTCATCTCTGTTGTCATAACCCAAATAAATGAAGTGAGGAATGACACATTCGTCAGTACTCTCTTCATAAAAGAGACATTCGTCAACACTCTCTTCATCTGTCATGTCACCAAACAAATATTTGTCAGCACTCTCTTCACTCTCCTCCACAGTACTGCCTGATCCGTCAGTGGTTCCAGGCGGGTTGTCCTCATCATTGCTTTTCCTCCTGCAATTTGCTGGTGAGGGTATGGGGATATTTATAACTCCTGCAATTATAGGTCAGTGTTGAAAAACATCATAGATCGGGGTTGTCTGGCGCCCTGCAACTTGTCAGTGGCACAGAGACAATTAACAATTACTTTGGCAGCTACTGATAGTTGTGACGAGTAACCGCGACGTAGGCCAAGCTCAGACACCTCAAGTTCGGAGTTGAGAGGTGCTTACTTTGAATAAGTATTATTCAAAAGGGGTAACTAATATGACATACAAATGTAAAATAAATAACAGAATCTGTTTTTAATAAAGTGTGTTGAGAAAACAATTATTTCAGCGTTTTTTCTGCACTGTAACTATAACCTGTGAAACAAACAATTGAATAATTACTTCTTTGATAGGCATTTAGACGTTGGAGTTCTAAGTAAGGATAAGAATTTATGGATGAACAACTTCTTTATTACAATAAAGAGCGACGTTTCGGTGTAGGTTCTAACACCGTTATTAACCAAGTGCTAACGGTGTTAGAACCTTTGGAGGTATGCAACAGGTATAAGGTATGTACCACTGGAGGTATGCAACAGGTTGCGATTAAATTATAACATCTTTGCAGGGTTATGTGATAACTTCATTTTTTTTCAAACAAAATGTATGTGTTTACAAGCGTATTTTGAAGTAGTTAATAATATGTGTATTTTGATTTGGACCTCTGTAATAATTGCTACTGTAGGATAGCGGAACGATGTACCTATGTGTAATGACAGTGTCAAAAAACGTTATAGAGCATTCTAAGTCATTGTATAATGGCGATTAACTTCCTGTGGTTAAAATTTGAGGTCGTCTCGCTGTAGAATCGATACCTTCGTATTTTAAATTGAAACCTCGTGCTAAAGTGTTCAGTGCCAAATTATAAATATCGATTCTAGGTTGACTACTAACCAAAAGCACAGAAGGTTTTCTCTTAAGGTTTAGTTTTGTGTGGTCGTGGCGTGGGTATACAATATACGTTCTACAACCAGTACCTATAGTCAGTACTTACGAACAACCCTCCTCCGACGTCTGATTAACAGAGCCACGACGACAACGACGATGACGATGATGACGACTATCACAGTCGCACATACAGCAATTGCTATGACATATTTTCTATCCATGGTTCCGTTGGTCCACTGCAGGAATCAACTTCTGCAAATAATACAAAGAATTTGTCTGCATGTCATTAAACAGTTAAGCATTTACGCAAATTCGACCTCCACACTGTACGCTCTCACTGACAAGCCCTTCTATTACGCAATGACACTTACCCGACAGAAGAACGTTCCCGCGTATTGAATGTTGCGTGGGAATGCACCGGTGTATGGTGTGCAAGGGGTTATTAAAAATTGCACCTTGGTGTACCTACCTCGGAGTAGCTGCAGCTAATTCCTTTGTGGGTAGGGACCCACCTTTACATTGTGAATGAATGAATGTGTTGAGGCTGTATTGAGGCTGTATTGAGGCTGTATTGAGGATCTATTGAGCTTCATCCAGCAGAATTAGAAGGGCACAACGACACGGTTGGCACATTAAACTAAACAACTTTACAACGCATCCTTAAAATAAAAATCATTGCTTTCTCATTACACAAAAGGTTCACACACACTCCTTCTTGGCTTTCCATTGATAAAAATACTCTGTCACTGCAAACACCTCACCAACTGTTGTGTACAGGTGCAGATGGCTGCAGTGGTGGTTGATTACAAAGGGGGTTGTAAAGTGAACGGTTCCTGCCTAACGGAACATTTCTTCGGCTTCGTATGATGCAGGTTTTGCGAAGGTACTAGGCTAAAGATAGCCGTCTACTGAGGCCTCGGCCATTAACCTTGATCAAACAAAATGGAACGCGCGTCATCGGGGACCACATGTAAAAATGATTCAGTTAAATCCTAGGATGTGCACCTTTTGCAAAAAATAATATTTACTTCGCTCTTTATGCAGAGACAATGCTTGCGATTGAACAACAATCTGGGTATATGCCTTCTGAAACAGACAAACAGTTTCTTCTGTCATTTAGGCAACAAGGCCCATAGTACAATGGATATTAACATAAACAGCCCTTTGTGAGAGGAAGGCATTGCGACCTTCAATGTTGACATTTCAGAATTGCATCATCCAAATATTATGACGACATGTGCCACTTGTGCAATCATAACAGAATGCATGGCTTATTAAGTGGGGCTTTGGTTGGAGTGTTTCCTTCATAATTTTGACTACTTGTCATCGTGCACGGATGGTGTGGATCACTCCTCTTGTTTTTTTCAATCACTGCTGTTTCTGTTCAGGTCAGATATGGTTAGAGTTTCACTGACTACGGCGCTAAACAACATTCACTCACTTAATCACCTTTTTATTAGGACTGTTCTCATCTAGCGACACTTTTTTTTTTTCATGAGATTTAGTTAAATAAGGGGATTAGAGTGTTCTTTCGGAAAGGAGATAAATTGGACGGCCTGAATCTTGAACTGGTCTGGGGGCGTTCGGGTAGCCTGGTGGTTAAAGCGTTTGCTCGTCACGCCGAAGACCCGGGTTCGATTCCCGACATGGGTACAATGTGTGAAGCCCATTTCTGGTGTTCCCCGCCGTGATATTACTCGAATATTGCTTAAAGCGGCGTAAAACTATACTCACTCACTCACTCACTTGAACTGGTGTGAGTCTTGGTTTCTTTTGATAAGTTTATAACGGAAACAGTTAAACAGTTTAGATACGAAACACAAGTCCTATATTCCCCACTGGCCAATATCACAGACGTCAGAAATCTTTGTTCAGCACATTAAACATGCAAAACAATCATTATTACCACGTGTTTGTAAATTACACCCACATATAAGATGTTCCCTCTTATCAAGACACTTACGGCATGTGAAGCATGACATATGTGCACGTAATTATTTTGGAATTTTACCAACACTCATCAAGGGCCCAGTTGTGTAGTTCCGCGGCCCTTAAGAAGGATGATAAACAGGACTATGCAATACGAGCTCTACCCACAACAAGGAAGTAAAATGGTGATATTAGATCGTCTCACAGCGGGGTTGATCAGTAGAGTCGTGCGGGTTACTTGGAGAACTCTACACGCTGGTTGTAGTCATGTGTACACAACCGGTGTATTTTACGCTAGGCCACCCAATGTATGCATATCAACGTCTTCACTCCACAAAGATGAAACTGGGTCGATTTAAATGACGGCGTGTTCTGTTTTCCATTAGGGAGTCATCCTGTCCCGCCTCATAAACGCACCTTTCCCACTATAGCATGTCGCCCATCCCACCATCCCAACTATAGCTTGTCGCTCGTCCCGCCTTTAACATATAACAAGTCACATCTTTAAATGAGTCGCCTATAACATACCACTACTTCCTGAACATAAACTCGTTATCCTGTCCTCTTCAACCTGCGGCACATCAAACACTTACCTGCCGTGTGCTTTCCTCTATATCCTATCAACGACAAGAGAATATTCCTTTAAACAACATCAGACCATTTCCATAGACAATAGCGGAATATCCATAAATAAGCCACAAGTGTTTCACTGCTCACTGTTGGCAACAAAAGTGTATACTTTTTCGACAGCACAAGCAGCAACCACTTTGGCAACAGCACTGTATCCCTTCTGACAACCGCAGGGTATCCCTTATCAGTGTGTTAGACACAAACAGTCTCCTCACTATCTGTCAATTACGTTCGGTTCTGCATCAGAGACGACGTGGCCTTCTCGCACACAATAGGTAGCATATGTAGTGCACGTATTTGTGAGATACACTAAAATCACTTTATAACATGTCGCCCGTTAACTTTCCCCTCTATAAGACGTTGACCGTCTAACTTTCCCCTCTATAAGACGTGGACCGGTACCCCACCCTGTAGAGTTTACCCAGTTTTGGTCGCACACACAATGAACCGGCGACTGATTTAATGACGTCACTGTCTGATATTCCCCTTTCACTTCCTTGTTGCCGGTAGAGTTCCTGTCGCATTTCGATGTTGATCATCCTTCTTAAGGGCCGCGAAACTACAGAACTGGGCCCTTGATGAGTGTACGACCGTCTTGTTTACTGACAAGGGGAACTCCTTGTAGGTATAGTGTACAGACAGGTAAGAATAATGATTGTTTTGTTTTGTATTAACCTGGTGTAAGATTGAGAATACTTCATCACTAAAGAAGAGGAAATACACATTGTCGTGTACACATAACAGCCACCCAGCGACTAACGGGATCGGAGGGTCAGGCTCGCTGATTTGGTTGATGCATGTCATTGTGTCTCAATTGTGTGGATCGATGGTCATCATAACAATCACAGGATTGTCTGGTCCAGACTCGATTATTTACAGACCGCCGTCATATAATTGCTGAGTGCGGCATTAAACAAACAAACAAACAAACAAGTAACATGATACGCCGTGATATTACTGGAATATTGTTCAAAACAATTGCTCACTCACTCCCCCTATGAAAATCTATATGAGCAGCCCCAGGTGTTGTTTAGTAGCAAGAGTTATCTCTCTCTAAACAGCGAAATAAATAATATATTTTATTATTCCATTCAAAACAAGAGTACTGAGGATTTAAATGAATATTTTTAGCATTGGATCCCCGATGACGCGCGTTCCGTGTTGTTTGATCAGAGTTACAATATTCAAGGCCTCAGTGAAGTTTTATGATGAGACATCTCCACATGTTGACGCATCAGTGACAAAAATGGTTTCAGATGCATTCCCTATGTTGACTCATATCAATTTCCCTCTATCTCTTCCTGCCAATCAGATAGCTGTCGCTAATTGTATTCCAGAGATGCGTAACAGGAACCCGACTGATTATTTTCAATTTTGTAGTCGTAGCATTAATATTAATCTATCTCACTGAGATAAAACGTCTATGGTCTGTAAAGTAGGATGCGAAAATGAGTGTCATTCAAGAAACGTATTTCTAGTCCCAAGAGGAGTTAAACAACAAAAAATTTGTTTAAGTTAAATTAAAGTTTTTGTCCCTACCCATCCACTCACTCACTCACTCACTCATCCACCAACTCACTCACTCACTAACATCCCTACCCACCTACTCATCCACCAATTCACTCACTCACTCACTCACCAACTCACTCACCGACTCACTCACCAACTCACTCACTCACCGACTCACCAACTCACTCACTCACTCACTCACTCACTCACTCACTCACTACTGTGGAATGATAGCATATATCATTAATCATTTGTTACCTATTCCCAACATATTTGCTATACATGATTAAATCGATATACAGCCCGGGAACTACGCATTAATCAACCCGTTGCACGCGGTACTTTTTACCCGAGTTTCCTGTGACTATGGACCTGGTTTTGACCCTTGTATTTCTATGCACGTTGGTCGACACACAACAACAGGTCCTGCTGACCATGTGTTATGCAAAAGTGAGTGTGTGAGTGAGTATTGGTTTACGCTTCACACATTGTACCCATGTCGGGAATCGAACCAGGGTCTTCGGCGTGACGAGCGAACGCTTTAACCACTAGGCCATCCAACAGCCCCGAGAGTAATGAATAACAATATGATCAATATCGACTTAATGGCGTTTTACCATTTGACATTTATCGAAAATATTCATCGAACCTTTTCCGTCATTTGCATCCTCGATTGTCCAGGGTATTATATCTCCATTCTGGTATGATATCACCCTGGACCTATTCGCCGCCACAGACAGTTTCAGAAGTGACGTCACAATCTCTTCTACAGCTAGTTTCAGAAGAGACCATCTCTTTCTTAACACATATAACTAATTTCATATCAATGGGAAGCCAAGGAGAAAATATATACTTATAAAAGTAAAAAACCAATGATTTGAGTTTTCGCGATGCTATGCACAGTTTTATCAGCTGAGTGTGCTAACCGTGTCTGTGTGTCCCTGCAGTGATGCGGGATAATGTTTAATACATCATCAGTACATCCATAATACATTCATTCACTCATGCAAATAATGGGCCGACCACTTAAAATAATAATGGGCCGACCACTTAACCTGGGACCCGTGAAGATTCCGGGGTAGAATAGGTCTTTTAGCAACCCATGCTTGTCGTAAAAGGGGACTATGCTTGTTGTAAAAGGCGACTAACGAGATCGGGTGATCAGGCTCGCTGACTTGGTTGATGAATGTCATCGATCCCAATTGCGTGCGTGGATCGATGCTCATGATATTAATCACTGGATTGTCTGGTCCAGACTCGATTATTTACAGACCGCCGTCATATAGCAGGAATATTGCTGAGTGCGACGTTAAACAACAAACTAACCAACTTAACCTGAAGATGAATGTATGCTGCCAAGCCTAGAGAAAAATTACCGTCACCTTCTTCCGGGTAGGAACACCCAGGTGCGATTTGTACGGTGGCCCATACCCGCCACTGTAGAGATCATTTTTCACTGTATGCCTCTATATTTTATCTGGTGGCCGCCAAATACTTCCACTGTAGAGATCATTTTTCACTGTATGCCTCTATATTTTATCTGGCGGTCGCCAAATACTTCCACTGGTGAGATCAAATATAGAGGTTAACAGGGGAAAATGATCTTACCAGTTGAAGTATTTGGCGGCCGGCAGATCAAATAAAAAGGCATACAGTGAAAAATGATCTCACCAGTGGCGGGTATTGGCCACCGTAGATTTGTAATACTGCACTGGGGAACATACCGTCCCACGTATCAACACTATGGGTGACACTTGGGCGGTTGTTAGGCAGGTAGTTTGTGTACATGCACAAGACCAAATAGCGTCCATTCCAATTTGGAATGATCGTTGGATTTCTTTGGAAAGATCGCTCATTCCAACATTTCCAAAGCTTGGAAAGATCGATCTTTCCAAAAAATCCAAAATTGGAATGGCAACATTTCCAAGCATATTTCCAAAATTGGAAATGTTTGGAATGGCTTGGAATGGTTTGGAATGGTTTGGAAATATGGTTAGAAGGAAAAAGTTAAAATATGTTTTATCAGTAATTTGGACAATAACAACAGTTATTTATTGAGTTTAAACTATATAATAATATATTTATCTCAAACATTCACTACTTGTCTGTGTAGCGAGGGGCTTTTACAGTCTCAGTCCCTAAGGTGGGAGAGAGACCCGCACTTGACTCGACAAGACCCTAATAGGTCTCAAGATTAAGTATTCGGCTGGATGGCAGCTGCCATTTAATGACAAAACAGACGGTCGTCTAGACGGCTCACATGTAAGTGCGCCGACATGTGCCTAAGATCATAGAATGGACAATCTTTAGTAACATCTAATTGATTGTTGTCTCAGGCCAGAGCTGTGAATAATTCTGTTCATTGAACAATTGGAATTCAGGAAGTTATCAATAATTGTTTTATTTAACATGTTTACGACATAATATTATGACATCAGGACGTACTACAGACAGAACCATATATTTTAAAATCAGTTTGCAATCAGTTTAAACTCTTTAACCGCGGGAAACGAACACTGAATTATTTATGAATGCTTCAATAGAATACAAAACATGTTTTTGTTATCCTTATTACAAACAAAAAATAATAATTCCAAACCGACAGATTTCAGATAACCTGAAATTACGCTTCGTGAACAAGTCGGGCGTCCTTATAGACGTGTATTTATGTCATATAATGAGAGACTATGATTTCCAAGTCCCGATTATCATGTCAATGATATATCAGTTTTACCACATGTGCACAGACCGCCTATACTTTTGCATAACTATTCTCAACTGAAAGTCCTATCCTCTTATCAAATATTCTGTGAGAGTAATCATCATTAATATAAGAAAACTCATTCTCATCAAAGAATACAGAACAAATGACTCAGATGCATACATTTATTACCATGCTTCATTCATCACGAAGCAGATTTACATAATTTGTGAACAGCCCTTGAACTGTGATTATGAATTTTACCATTGTCCATATTAACATAATAATATATACATATATACAAAACAGGTCAAGTTTGGAATTTTGAAATATGCCATAAAAGGTAGAAGGAGGGGGGGGGGGGGGGGGGGGGGGGGGGGGGGGGGTTCCGTCAAACAACTGTCAAACCATTTATTGCCATGTACGTACTTGCACACAGGGAAGTCAGCGCTGTCTGGGGCTCCAGGTAAATAAACATCGTGGTTTTATGACGGGAGATCAGACGAACCGTGAACCAGAGGCATGCGACGTAATTACACCAGGGTATTGTCTCTTGAACTGGCTAATTGACTTCATATAATTGGTAAATATATTCGTTTTGACGACCGTGATTCATGCGCATCCCGGCTCATTAAGTGGGCTCCAGGCCATAAAAACAAAACCACAAAAAACGCCCCAAACTAATACAACAGATAAAAGCGCCAACAATCTACGTAAACTAGGTAAAGACATAGAAATAGTTTGGATCCCTGCCCACGTTGGGGTGTTTGGCAACGAACATGTAGACAAAGCAGCCAAATCAGCACTAAAATTAGAAGAAGTAAGCATCCCAAGCATCAACCTACCAAAATAAAAAAAAAGAAGTTAAAAGTATCTCAAAGGAAAATAGCGGCAAAATAACAATCAGAAATATGATTGCAAACTAAAACGCCACTCAAAAAAACATATCCATCATAAAACCAAAAACATTGACAGAGTAATAACCAAACTACAAACAGGCCACACTAAGTTAAGCTCTCACCTACACCTAATTAAAAAAACCACCCAACCGGTAAATACCCCCACTGCAACTTAAAAAGAAACGCCCGAACACGTATTATTCCCGTGTGACATTTACATTTAGAGCGCCCTATTCAATACTTTATGGAACACATTACCAGCAACACAGACCAAACAACACTCCAATCCTCACTAAATTGCAACAATCACATGACTGTACTGAACCCCCTACATGACTTTAAACCTTTGAAGCACTAAGCATATATCTAATCAAACCAGGCCTACTTGGCCGCATTTAAAAAAAAGGACAAAAAACAAGCTGCCAATAAACCCTAAAATTCCTAACCTATAAAAACACCCCTTTTAGTAAGTAAGTAAGCATGTTCTGATGAGGATATGAATGATGATGATTCTAAACTACTCCATGGTATGTCAGTGCTGAGCTGACCCAGCTGTCTTCTTTCTGCAACCAGGCAGGAGGTGGTGCAAATGACGAGACACCTGTAATTCGTCTCGTCCGTGGTACGATGGACGCTGCTGTCTTGGTTGTTTTACTAAATGTCTCGTCGGCCACTTTTTTAGCGGCCCTCATTTCATGACTCTCCCAGTCCCTCCTTCTCACATTGAAGACCCGGTTGCCATCCTCGTCGACCGAACTCTCTTCTGACGACATGAGCTGCGTTTTTTTCATTACTCGAATGTACTTGGTCCTTGTGTGATGAGGTAGTTCGGATTTTTCAATGCCAGTTACACGGTTTCTGCTTTTCTGAAAGCAAAACCGTTCACTTTATAACACCCACCTTTCTTAAACACGAAATAAAACGAAGACAAAACAGAAATGTGCCCATTACTTCAGTAGAATAGTTTGTCCTGAGCATGTTGTGTTTAGAGTCACTATAAATCGAAATTCTGTAAATGGGAAGAAATACATATCTAAATCTATAAAAAGAAGTCTACAGATAATCTTCAAGTTTCAGTAACATTAACTTACAACTCATAGTACATATTATTTGCAGTTGAACTCCTAAAGTAAAACTCACTGCGTACAAGCAGGAGTTATTTAAGACGTTTTAATGCAGGAATAACAAACATGAAACATTTTATTCTCATTTCAGAGAAGCAATTGCAGCAACTATAGTTATACGCATCGTTACATTCCTAACTATCTATCTGGTACTTGGTGTGAATATTAGTCACTCCCCACAGAGTATGAAACATGAAACATTTCGTAGTATAGATAAATATACTACCAAAAGACATGTTACAACAATGATCTGAAGGTATGATTGGATTTATATACGTTTTAAAATGACACGACATTTCTAACAACATTGGAACATATCGCAAGTAAGGGAGATATGTCAGTTACGATTCCGATATTCTGGTTTTGTTTATCAGAACAATTTAAGAAAAATCTCTGTGGAATGGCTGGGCAGCTGAGTGGTGATCTGCTCGAGGCTAATTTGTGTCGATTTAACATGTTTGACAACGAAAGTCCGGATCGATAGTAATGTAACTCATCAATATAGAATATTTGGTAACGGAAAGAATTGGATAGTACATAGTACATTTAGATAAGAACGTAGTGAAATAAATGGCTACAAATTTGATAGATTTGCTCCTCATAATTTATCTTCTAGTTGTGGTTACTTTCATCAGGGTAATGTTCATTATCTGTTTCAGTACCCAAGGTACAGTCCTCTGAGATGCAATAGTAAATTATGTGGAAGGAATTTGTCTGGAGGGAACTTCATATAGGCATTGTCTGTTGGCCTTCTTTATTTGAGATAAACCATTCTTTAAATCATTAAAAACAAATGCTTCCTAATTTATCATATTCTGAGAGTTTCTGTAATTGTATTTGTGGCATATCTACCTCTAACCAATTTTCTATGTGCATATACATGCGGCCGCGGGTGACAGATTTATTAGGGTCATTGGGTGACGCTCAGGGTTTCTATAAAGGTAGAAAGATGGCGTTATGTACCTTTTTTATGGCAGAAAGTGTTATTTGTGTAACATTAGTTATTTAGGAAATGATTTCAACTGTTTGAATATATTGACAACACATTTACATTGAGGGTGCAATGTAAATTCGTCAAGTAACATTTAAAAGAAACTATTAATTTCTTGCAACGACAATAATAACTACCAAGAAATGGTAAGATTTAAACCTTACCTAACAACGTTTATACAATTCAATATTACTGAGACCGGGCAAAACCCTGCTGTTAAAAGAGAAATTCATACGCATATAATAGCAAGCCAATGATTTTTTAAATTTTGTTGCTAAATCGTATTGCTCAACACAAAATAGTATTGAGGACAACAGGCAACCTTGCCTTACTAGGCTTGGTAATGGAAACATATCCGTCGGATGGGCATTAATGGATACACATGACCTATTATTTCATATATTGACAACTGCTCAAAAATCCGTTTCAGTAATACCTAATTTTAACAACAGAACAGTCACGGTTTACTTTATAAAATGTTTCGAGGCGTGATGTTGACAAACAAAAAGTAGTACGCCTCATAATATCCTTTGATCAATGACCGCTTAAAATGTATGCAGGTTCAGTCGTTTTACTCTTCTGTATATGAATTGATTCAAGCCAGGTAAATAGGAAATTCAATAAGTCAGAGCAAAGTTATACATGGAATATCAAAGATATCCCGAGGTGATTAGCGACACACCTCTTAATAAGTATTATGATGAGTTTATTTCACAGGTTAAAATACTGTGAAAGACTTAAAAAACGATATTATATATATTGACTGGATTCTATTATCTACTAATGTGCAAAACCACAAGCCCTAACCACTGACGTCAGTACCGGCAAAGCACTCGGGAGCATCGCTTGGAATCTTCTTCTTCTTATTATTTTCTAAACACGTTGTATGATGATATTGCATTTACATGAATTCATTTGCCAATGTCCTAGTTGACTCTCCGATGCATATGTGCATCAATGGACGCCCAAAATATTATTTCGAAGCTGTTATGCGAATACATGGAAGAATACCGGCAGAGATGTGCCCCACTTTTACTCTTATGTAGAAGACGAGCGAGTGGTAGCTAGACTGGCAAAAAGCTCTTGTAAAATATATACTTTCATATTAAAGGTTAAAAAAAAATCTCTTTCGCGCCTGTGGTTTATTACACCTCCACAAATGTTTTCTGAACAGTGATTGAAATTATAAACAAGTTACACAAGTCGTGTGTGTTGTCCCAGTCATTAGAAGACTGACTAAAATAGCTGAGCTACGCGTGTGTCGACTCTGGCGTTAACTAACAAGACAGAGACTGGGGGATAATAGAAATAGTCTGTCACGTAACACATTGAATATATACAGGTGTCGGGTGATGGTCGTGCCACTGTTCATAACAACATTTTCTCAGCACTAATTACAATGATATAATGACAAAGCAATATATTGACATGTTACAAAGGTGGGCATTATAGACAAGCTAATCAATGCTAGTCAAGTGATCACGGTTTGTTAACTCACGTTGATTGGACAGTCTAGACAACACATGACGGCCTTTCCGTCTTAGAATTGTAGTGTATACTTGTAAAATTACCTGGGGCACTATGTATATATATACACTCATAATATAAACAACAGAAAATTACCCGGGGTGTAAACTATATAAGGGTAAATAGGTAAATATTAAAAGCAGGCAATTTACCAATTTTTATACACCCCGGTTGTCCTAATAAAATTCTCTATTCTAATCTATCCTGCTGTTAATTCTGCAAAAAACATATGTATTCCAAATTCCACCTCTCCCTATAACCTTACTCCACTGGGCACCTTTTAATTATATATTAATAAGGCGCCACTCACCTCATTCTAAATTTCTCTTTTTTTTAACTCGGCGGCCATGGCCAACAGGCCTATATAAAGTCACACCTCAAACACTTCCAACAATTGGCCTTACTTTGCCCAAGTTAAGCTTCACTCAAAATTCATCTTCAATAATCCAAATTTTATATCCTAAGGGGGTATTTAATCCCTCCAGCAACACAAATCTTTCAACTTACCGTCAGTTTCCTTGAATTCTTTCTGGACGCGTCCGTGTGTTCTTTCTCTTTTCCGTTACGTGTTCGGGATAGCTTCTCTTTCTTCGTTAACATGATCCTGGTCATACCATCTGGAACATAATGTTTCTTTCCTTATTTGGATGTGAACTGCAACATACCGGTCTTTTTTCCATATCTTCAAATAGTGTACAGCAAGTCTTTAACCATTAGTTTACCTGTGAATGCTGCATATAATTCTTTCCTGACAGACTAATGGGAATGTTACGCATCATAGATAAGTCATTTCAAAACAATGAAAAAAGGTTTAAATCTTTCCACTAGTAGGCATGTGTACCTTTGCATTGACTTATGGAATTGAAATGTTTTAAAAATGTACATGACGGACACATGCATTTGAAATACACTTAAATGATAAAAATACCTTTAAATTCCTGTTTTGTCATGCTTGGAGCTATCACCTTAGAAAAGTCCCAGATGTATTTGACAACTTGTCGATTCTGTGCGGACTCCAACCTGCAACAAATGTTTTACTTTTATTATATGACCAGAAATATACATATGCCAATAACTATTACATATAATCTTCTTTAACGACTTCAGCATGAACTTATTAACTTATTTTGAAGTAACTAAAAGAAGCAAGATTATTAGGTATAATTTCACTGCATAATTAAGACATATTCGTTTAGATTTGAGATATATTGGTGGTACAGTTTTCTGGTACAAAAATAACAAAAAGATATATATTTATGTGACTGTCTCATATAATTTCCCATTACAAAGATTCCTAAGACTTTATTTATGACTATTTTCTACTGAAACGGGATTCATGGAAGAGAAGTAATCGTGGTGGTATTAAGAAAATATTATTTTTGCCAAAATTGCGTAACAGTCTTTTTCGGATGTACCTCCAATTTTATCAGAAAAACTTGAGGCACACAAAACTTTGCGACTCGTTCATTGATTATGGAGGTAAAATGAACACTAAAAATGCGATAAGATTTTAAAACAAGCCTATCTATTCATCTGAATAAAAAGTACTGTAATAAAAGTATAAGTGAAACAAAGATAAATTACATATGACTTTTGATAGTTTTGATTAACTTTTATCAGCGACAAACCTATAGGGGTTTAAAAAGAGATAAATAATTATATAGGTTACATACTCGGTCTCACAGACGCAAAGATACACATATCAACAGAAATAGTGCTTACAATGCCACAGCGTTTTCCTGGTGTAAGTCGACTCCAAACAAATGGTTGTCAAGTATGGTAAAAATGATATTTTCGAATTATTTAAATGATTGTAACAGAATGAACATATCGTCCTTTCCAAAATGATCACTGCACACTACGATACTTACGTGAACATAGGCTCCATAGTCCACCCTTTCTCAGTTTCAGCATGGTCGATCGCTGCCTTCAATGCTGCCTAAGGAAGAAAATTGATAAAATATAGTTAACAGACAATAGAAAGAATCAATATTGGTGATTTTATCTGTGAGATAAATCTATCGAAACTTGATATTGTCTTATGAGAAACGCATCGATTACTGTAAATCGTGAAATTAATGCGATTGCTGAACCCAAGCTATTTAAAATAGATACACCTGGCCATTTAAAAAAAATTAAAAAATTACAATAAAATACAGTTGCATCCCACATCCACCTCTGTGGACACACCACAACATACCTACCTCACTCAGATACCTCCATGCACAAATTTACGTAACGTTCACACACATACACTCAAGACATAATTACTTTCATACTTGCATACCGGGGTACATACGAAACTCATACGCATTTACCATTCTGGACACAAACACAACGTTCACGCATACAAACACTTTCTCATCCAAACACACTCATCCAACATACAAAAACACTCTATGCTCCATGTCTACAATATACCGTACCACAACAGTAACAGGTCCATGCGTTGGTTTACAACTTGATTGTTTACAACTTGATTGTAACTAGTGCAATCTCCCCCATGCCAAATATTATTTTAGATAAAGAAAGTGAATGCTTTCAAGCCGAAAGTATCTGAATTGAACCTTAATCCGCTTATTAGTGCCGAGTACATCGGGAAAACAATCGTTATGGTGTTTTTCTTCCCAATAACAACACATAGTTTATGTTGATTGCCCTCGTTTAACGAGCTGTATAATCTCGGTCGCTAAACACGGTTTTCCACATATCCGCCGTTTTGATGTTTTGCTGGGATCTTACCCTTATGTTTGTACTGACTTTGCTGGATTTGGTAGAAGTTTGTGTTGGTTCCTGGACCCTGTTGTCCAAACGTGTAACTTTTGCAGTTAGGGCGGTAACCTGGAAATACAAATATAGTGAAAATTGACGGTGAAACGTATCATGGTATGCCCTACTAGTTCACTTACTGTTATATCGCATGATCCAACACTGGCTGGATGTAATTTTTAAAATCAATGTTTCCTTGTAATGACACTTAAATATACATTTAACTATAATTTTCCCCTTGAAACACGATAAATCATATCGAGAATGCATTTTAAACTGAATACAGTGTTGACTATCATCACTTACCTGTGTATTCTTTTCAGTAAGTTTGCTCTTGAGGTCTCTAACCTCGCTGTTTAAGTTTCCAATTTCCTTTTTAAGGTCGCCGACTTCGCCCTTCAAATCTGTAATGGCCCTGTGAAGTCGTCCTTCCATGACCCTCATGAGTTGGAGAAATTCCGCATAGGGGATTGACTTTCCTGTAATTAAGAGAAACATTAAATACTTACATAGCACCTGGATGACCGTTTTACGTTCTGGGAAAAATTCAAGTGCAACCTTCTCCAAAATATGCACTCAAATATCAAATTCAAAATATATTCGAGCCAAACAGAACTACCCCTCCTTGATATTCTTATTAAAAAGAGTAAGCTAATTTTGCCATCAACTGCAATCTGAAGTGTTATAAGCACTAGGTTGCAGTCATTTGAAATCCCGCTGGAATATAAGACAAGCCTCAGCGGCAAACATAAAAAGGATAGTTACATTAAATGATCTTGTTGCTGGTCGAATGTAATTGGTGTTGACGAATGAGTGTTTGAATATCATTAGCTAGGGCATTTTAATGTCGATTAAGCAATCCTTATCAATAATGGAGATGTTCCTCCTGTGTCATTCCGCGTATCTTGTGGCAGCTAAAGATGTGCCAAAATCATATAAATGTATGATTATTCATATAATGCGAAAAATCATTTCATACGTTGTGTGACATACCTTGTCTCATACGAGGAGTCTCAGCTTGAATTGCAGCTTGTTTCTCTGAAACATTAATTTGTTTATCAGATGCCGTATGAGTGCTATTTTCTAAGCAAATTGCAGACACATCGATGCACTACATACCATTGATCGCCGATGGATACGGATTTCATTTATCTTTATGAATATCCATTTAGATGTTGAAAATAACTGCGTGTCTAAGCATACCTACGATAATCTCTGATTGAAATGAAAGCAAATTACATGTTAAACTGCACGAATGTGACAAGAAAATTCATGAACCTGCTCATAGAATTGTGTTTGATGAAAATACATACTACAGCTTGAGGCTCTTCTCAGTAAGTCCTGACCGTCATCTTCTCCATCTGCATAGAAAAGTACAATTTAAGAAATGGGCTTGGGTTGATGAAAATATATGAATCAGTTATCTTGAACGTGCTTTATTGCTCGAACATAATAGTTTTTAGACTGCATACATTTGCAAAGTTTATATACATTTTGCCATGCACAATAATTTACAGTTCATGTTTTTCTTTGATGATTGAGCCCTGGACATTTAAAAAGGTAAAGAAATTCATCTGCGACTGCAGGCGAGTCACAAACGTTATACTTTTTTTGCTTCACGTGGACTGCTAAAGCTAACGGTCAGTCCTACTTGTCGTAATTACAGACAGATATTTTATTACAGTCTCACCTCATATTTACAATATAAAATCTATTTAAAACAATTATGTATGAACAACCCATTACAGGTTATGAGAGACACTTTCTGCAATCACAGACACATTTCAACAGTTCAACCTGGCCACTAATTAGGAACCATTATTGTAAAGTTCGGTAAGAAATACCTGAAAAGTCGTAAACTCTTGTCATAGGTGTAGATGAGGCAACTGGACCGCTTCCTAATCTATTCTTTTTTCCATTTTCTTTCCTTTGTCTCAAGATTTTGTTCTTGCGCTTGACTGGACTCTACGATGAGACCAAATACAAAATTAAAATGTTTCCACAATATGGTTATGCGGTAAAACTTGAATTCGTCAAACACTTGTTTTCGACACTAGCAGCAGATGATGTAAACGGGTGATATAAGTGTTAACACATTTAGTAAAACAATCCCTGACAATATGAATATTACATATATAACTGACAGATTTATAACAGATAGTGCACAATGTTCAAGTTTATAATATATTACAACACCGATTTCATTAACATTACTGAAATCAGACCACTTTGACAATGAAATCGTTAATTAATTCAAGAAAGGTATAGACTGGCAGAAACTGAAGCAAAGCGATAGTGGCATGTAGAGCTATGTCTCGTCAGGCCAATGAGGCCGCGTGATCTAAGGAGCGTGAACAACATGGATGCCGCGTTTCGGCCGTACCGAACAGTCAAGCTGCGATCTCGGAGCTGCTCGTCCGATTGAAACCAATTGCAAGCGGAGACAAAATTATCTCCCTTACCCAAACATGATCGTTGCTCAAATCTATCTTGAGTAAATCATGAAATTAATGCGAGCATGACATGTATGCGAAAAATGCGACCGTCATTCCCTCTGATTATTTTTTTATGTTTCATTTCATCATGATAAAACAGTTAGTCACTTATAAGGTTACCAGGTTGAACATAAAAACGATCGTTAACAAAAACGACCAAATTTATTCTCTCATCACTCAGCCTAACAGTGATATAGCTGCACATAAAACGTTCAAGTGCGCTAAAGTATTACACATGGTGGGTGGAGGACCAGGGGCACTTTGAGTTTGACAGGTGCCATCAACTGGTCAAGTAACATCACGGTTTGTATATTCACGTTGATTGGACAGTCTAGGCTGGCGCCAACTAATCATGACGGCGTCTTCAGAACAGAACAGGACTTTATTTATTTAGTCTTCAGATCACTTGTTGTTACTTGAATAAAACTGATATGCATACAGATTTTATTGTTTATGATTTTTTTCCCATGACTTTTTTTCCTAACCTACTCTATGATTTTTTTCAATATTTTTGTCTCGTTCACCTTGGCGATATTCCTTTTGGGTCAACACTATGATGATACAATTCAGTTCATACAGACACACATTCAGTCTACTAATAAAACATTCATGTTACTCTATTACAAGAGGTCAGCGTATAGTTTCCTGGGACATGAAGAAACCGAAATAAATGATACAACATTACTTAACTGTCTCACCGTATTTCCTTTTTACAAAATGTTATTCATTTACATTAGAATATAGTTACTGCGTACATTATTGTAAGAGGAAAGATGTTAGACTTAGTATAGATATTTAGTTTTCGGTTCACCTTTTCCCTATTCTGTATCGTTATATTATTTCCGAATGAAATATTGTTTAAATCAAAAATTGTTAACTTCCCCGGATAATCAGTGAATAATCTATTCACTATTTCAATGAATACCTGGTAATTGGTGGCAAATTCCGACGATGTGTCACTCTTGTCCTCCTCGTCGATCTGGTATTCGGATCCTTAAATTGAACATGATAAATATGTTGTAAGTATATAATGCATTGCTTACCTTGAATCTAAAATGCGAATCAGTATTTTGCGATTGACTAGCATGTGTTTCAAACAATATGTAAGTGAAATGGGATTGCTTGGTTTTAGCGTGTTTGTAGGGATATGGTCACACATCTGAATACTTAGTTTGGTAGTTTGGGTAAGAAGCATAGTTAAGCCTTTGTCCTATCGAATGATGATAACTGTTCGGTTTTCTTATAACATAAAACGCAGGTAGAATAATTACAATTGAAGAGATACTGATTATAAATTCAGAGGAAAACATGTAGTTTGCATGGTGGAACTAGATTTAGTCAGAACAATCTACTCAAAATGCCAGCCAAATAGAGGAATGATGTTAATAAACTCTATTTCAAGAGCCTGAATTCATATTAATATAAATAATTCATATATCAATTATTTGTCTTAAGTTATTAAGAAAATATCCAAATGACAAATAACCCAAAATATTGTAGTAGGTGACTGTAGTAATTAATAATTACGTTTACGATTTGAGAGAAATAAACATACACGCCGTGGTTCCCGTGCACAAATGCCGATGTCATAGAGAATTGGCTAAGTTTCATTGCAAATAAATCGCACACGTATCACTACCCATCATAGAAAATAACAAACTCATGCGGCAGTAACGCGTGTTACCTATGCATATTGTCAAATCAGTGTGAAAGCGGCAGACAGTCAAATTAAGCGGCGCCATACTGTCTATGGTTATTCTCAATGTTTATCAATAAACATGTGGTAATGTCCTCTTTAAATTGGCGTTGAGTCATCGTTAGTCAAGCCTTGACAAGACATTTACAGTGATAACAGGTGTCAATCATTCCGCTAGACATTCCAAGGCGGCAATTATCTTTGATCTTGAACTAGGGCCCGGTATGTGCGACATGTTATTGACAATCTATACTTTTTTGTGGTTTCTGCCAAACCGTCATTGGGCATATACTATTCCAAATTAAAAAGGCTGTTTTTGATATTTTTACCAACGTTTTATAGTGCCATTTGTCAAACATGTGAACTGAGAACTGAGCCGCGCAAACAATCTCATCAAGTGTATAATATGTCCATGTTAAAAAGGGGATTCAAACTGTAGTTACAAATTGTTTAAACGAAATAACACATATGCAGCTTCTTAATAAAAGATAGTTAGAGTTTCCGTGGCACTGCATGTTTGCAGAATAAATTACTTTTCATAGGCGATACAAAATCAAAATCTTCAGTTTTATTGTGACACTGCTTGTAGATATCACAAATAATCTTTGTTTATCAACATTGTTGTATTGGAGGTTTTTTAATAGTCGTATACCCGGGTGTCGCATTGTGCAGTTTTAGCAATGTACGGGGATCAAAAATCTAATAGATAACAACTAACGTTATACTATGTACATGCATACGGTAAAGCGATACGTTATTTTAGAACATATTTTAGAAATAATTGTCTTCTGTGTCAAAGGTTCTCACTATAACACTGCAGTTCACAACGAAGTGTGCTTTCTGCGACAGAGATAATAAAAGATGGTAGATGTAAATTGTTAGGTCCGTTCACAACTCTATATCGAACGTCTTATGTTAATAGAGTAGTCATTACATTTCTATATTCATGTATATGGCACTAAACGATTCCTTTACAATGTATGTATATTTGTCAGATATGAGCAATATCTCAGAAAGGGAAAACATTTCATAATCTTATGTGTGATGTTTTGCATAATATAATAATATCGAACGATAATGTATCTCCTCTATATGGTGATTTACACAGAAATAAACCGATGTCTTTACATAAATAAATATGTAGATATTTGGTCTTACCTGAGCTTTCTCCTGACTCTGACCAAATTCCATGCAGTGATGCCTCTTCCATTGCAAAAAGTCGATCCAAGATAATGAACAGCCTTTTTTCAACGCGTTTCAAACGTAACTGGCCATCAGACGTCTAAGTATATATGCATTTTGGATTTTTTAAACGGAAGTGAGAATTTGTATAATGTGGACGTCTCTGCCCAATACTAAAATGTTTTCACAATTCAGTTGAACGTTGAGTCGCAACGCACAGTTCATAAACGGCACCTTTCTTCTCACGATAAGATAATCTTATTGAAGGATTAACATATTGGCGCACATGTTTGGATCAGTGATTGTGATTTAAACAAAGCAGATTCTTCTAAAAACATCATGGTTTGCCTAGGTCACAGCCAGCAAAAGCGTTTACAAAATATAATATATTAGTTCAAATATTACTAATGAGGCCCTCTATTGTAGAAACGATCTTTGTTCTACGACAATCGTCAGTCGGTATGGGAAAACAAAATATTTGTTTATTTATTCAAATTTCATAGGCAATGTCATATGATTATAGACAAGGAAGATAAGAAAATAAATATAAAGAGTAGCCACTTTACATTTCAGTTAAATTTGCTCATGATTTGGTCTTTTCGTGGTAAATAGTGCCAAAATATAATATGCAGCTACCAGTAATTGTATCTACAATGATATAACTCAATCTGTTTTTCTCATCATTATTGCAGTGAATTGTCGTATGAAAGGCGTATGGCCTTTCTGAATAAAAACTGTTAAATTTAAACCAGACAAAACAGGTGAAAACTAGAATCTTTGAAAAGAGAAACAAGGGTAGTATTTTGATAGGGGTTTCACTGAAAAAATTAAGTTCACAGCGAAGCATTCTTGCTTAGTCTGTTCCTACAAATAGAACAGAAGGCTATAAGGACCAACCGTATTCCGTTATATATGTTGCTTCTGTTTCATCGTTTCATACATTGTCCTTTCATCATGCCGGGTTACTATCTTTAGATACAAAAAAATCACCCCAAAAAGCTATTTTTATTCATTAAAAACAACAACAAGGAAAAGATTTATTAAAGGTAACAGTAAGTGTTATCTGAAATATTTATATTCTATTATCCCCTTTATTTGGAGTGGGAGTGTCACATCATCATTCAACATCGGCTTCACAAATGGGATGTGCCCGACGGGTACAAACACAAAACAAGATATGGTAAATAATCTAACTGAATATTATGTAAAAACTAGAGGTGAGTTTTAAGATAATAAGTTAAGGATTACTTCAGATACTAAAATGAGTTGTTTCTTTCGTTTATTTAACGTCTGCTTCACAGAAAGTGAATTTTATTTAAAAAAGGTAAGTAAAAACTAAATGAATAAAATATAATGTTGTTTGTATAAAAGCACTGAAAGATGGCGTCAGTTTGGAATGAAGACTATTGCACACCATGGAATTAACTTCTCGCGCGTAACATATCACGTGACTGCTCGCTATGTCACGTGGTAGGTCATTGGTGCTATATGACACGTTCTCCTCAGCGGCAGAGTATACCCTGATTGGTATGCTTCAACAATCATCACATTCCTGTGTTT